CAAGATGCAGGCCGATACGTAAATAGCCTGTGTACAGACGTCCCCCCTCGGGGGACGTCTGTACACAGGCTAAAACGCAAAGCGCTCGATCTCGATGGAAAAATAGAGGAATGTGAACAGTCTACCAATTAATTTTAAGTGCGTTAAAATTGGTCTAAAAATAACTTTAGTGAAATCCATATATCCTAAGGGCTAGACTGAGAGCTTCTTTCTCTGCCTCATTATTCTCCCAGCTATGCCATCAACAGAAGATCAGACAGAGTTCTTGGACAGAGGAAGCTCAAAGTGAAAACCCTTCAAAACACTTGGCTTTTTCGTCCTCCCCATAACCCCTTGCGCAGTGACGGGTACGACGCAGGCTGGGCACTAGGTAGGAGGGCGGATAAAGGTTGGGCGGTGAAACGAGCGCGTCCGAGCAAAAAGGTGTGATGCAGTGGACTGGGACTCTGCTTAGAAATGTCGCTTGTTTTCGACTTCGGTCAGGGCTTGCGATGTTGCGATGTGGTTTGTACATTAGATACTGCCGCTGTCACTGAATTATGATTTATTTAATTTATTTTCTTGCACTTCTTCCTCGTTCCTTTGTGCTGGTACGCTGTCTCCGAGAGGCAAATGTTGCTATTTTTTGCGGGAGGTTTAGTTGTAGTAGACAAACATCTCTTTCAAAGGGTTTCTTTTATTACTTCCATTACTCTACCACTGAATTATATTTTCGTTCTGCTACTCGCTAATGTCGATGTTATTTCAAAACAAAAACAACTAAGTACTGTCTAAAACACAAAGGAAAATCTCATCCATGTCATCCAAGGCAAAACTAAATGACAGCAGATCGTGTTTCATAACTAGATGACGTGTATTTTATAAATGCGTGCAGCTCGTGCAAGGTGAAATTATGCTAATTTCAATCACCATCAGCCTTCTTTTTAATTTTGAAAAAAACATCTCATACGTCTTTCTGTTTGTTCGAAACTTCAAAATTAGTTTCCCCTCAGTTTTTACTGCATGTTTACCTTGTTTAGTTTTAGAGAGAAAAACTGAGAAAAAACCTTACAACTAACCTCAATAAATTTTGTTTACATGCGGTTGCCGGATTTGCAACGCATTGAGCGAATAACCATGGCGCGTTGCACCCGAGAAGCAAAGTTTGAAGAAGTACAACGCCACTATATCAATATATATCAATCTAATTTTCTATTATGTTATATAAAATTTATCCCCCTTTAACATATGTAAAAATTGAGATTAAGAAGTGTTAAGCTTTTGCAAACGAAACGGCGAAAGACGATTAGGTGATATTAAGTGGAAGGAGGAGGTATTCAACACTTTCAAATTAAACTCAAATTTTGGCATTATACGACCAACAAGTTTGACTTCTAGACGTACAGACACAAACATATGAAACTGTTTATTGATATTGTCATGAAACGAATTTATCTATTTAACATTGTAGCCTGAAATTACAGAAAGAAAATAGCATTTCCGGTTTGCAAAAAGGAAAATTTCGCCGGCCTTCAAGCGCACCGGAAGCGCGGAAAGAGCACTCGTGCCAGTCCTACTCCGCATCACACATTAAATGAAGAGCGGAGCGCTCGTTTTACCGCCCAACCTTTATCCGCCCTGCTAGGTAGATTCTGCAAAGCGCGGAGGCGCGAAGTTGTGGAGACGAGATTAAAGTGGCCGATCAAAGTGTACTGTGCTACAATCGGACCGACAAACAAAGTTTTCTTCTCTTGCATTGGGTAAAATATCTCAGGAATCTTATGTCATTGCAAAATAGATCTGATCTGAGGCATATTATTTCTCAGGGGAGCGCGTGAATGTTGTTGATTCGGTTAGTGTCAATGGATGGAAAATTGTGATCGCACCTGGTATGTTGAACAATGACCAAAGTGTGGCTGAGGTATTTCATTTGTATGGCTTCTATCCTGTTATTAATTTTAATGAATCTAAAATCTAAAAAGCGAATAAAAGGGAGTTTTATGTTGTGAGTGTCGCACCTCGGCGCCTGTTTGTAAAACTCGGTTAAGCCGTGAGGGATCCGTAGACTGCTCTGCAGATCTCGTTGAACGTGCTTTGAGATGGAAATGGGGGTTATGTTTTACAGTTTGACCAATTGCTGGTTTATTACTTTGTTTATTACATTAAGCAAAGTATCATTCGTCGGTAAGTTGAATTGTTTGCCTTTAGTTTGACCACGGCCCGTGTAAACGATGTCGCGTCGTTTTTCGAGCGCTCAAGTTCTTCGTTTAGTACTTGCATGCAACCGTAGCTAATAAACTAATTCCGTTATTTAAGCTTATCTATAATTTGACAGTGTGAAAAGTAATGAAAATGAAACAATTATCGTTTTTCTTTAGGTGAATAATGTAGAAAGCTTATCGATTTATTCAATTCAAGCTCATTAAAAGATTGTTTATTAAGGAGCTGTCATAAGAAATACTCAAATGTAGTTGTGTTACTTCTTGCAGAGAGTGTGTCCATCACTTTAGAACCCCACAACCCGACTCAAGTCCTAGTCAACAGCGAAGTGGTTCTACGATGGAACTATACCCTCGGTGGAGATCGATTCAGGGAGGTTGAATTCCGAAGGACCAGGACCGGAGCCGATGAAAAGATCGGACTGATAGATAGAGAGGTGTTTTTGTACTTAGCATTCCAATCAGGGCGATTTGAAGTTCTGGCGCCAGCAACCTTGGTAATTCGCAATGTCACGGCGGACGATGCAACTGATTATATACTCACAGTTGAAGCTAAAACATCTTCTGATATAGTAACCGCAGAAAGTTCAATAACCCTCGATGTTCTCCGTGAGTTTCCTTTTGTTTTCTTAATTCTTGTTTAAAGCGCAACCAGTATGTCTTTGATTTGTCTCATGTGTGCAGTCCTTCTATTAAGGTGTGTAAAATATTGGGAAGTTGTGCGGAATTTAGGAGGTTGCATGGTGAGAAGAAAATGTCTACATATAAAAAATGTCTTTATACATGTATGCGACAAACTTAGTCCTGTTTCAAACGTTGTACTACTGCTGCATGTGCTGAACTCAATTGGTAGAATTAATTCTACTTTGGCACAGTAGTGGTGCAACGTTTTAATATAAATCATTTTGTTCAGCAACTTGAATTTAGTTCACGGCAATTAAATTTGACCGGGTCTGCAGTGCTACACAGCAGTAACACTGCTCGTTTTCAAGCGTCGCACTATTGCTGTGCTGAACTCAATTCATAAATTAGGAAAATGTACATGTTTAAGTGTTTTGACCCTACTGCGCTTGACTGCGAAGTTTTTCTTTATTTTGAATTTGGTGTGACTGAATTGAATTCAACGTTTAAAACCAATCCCTTGCCATTGCCGTAGAACTTCAAATTCATTCGAGATTGATACCGCAGTAGCACGACATTTGAAACAGGCCTTATATGCAATTTTTCCGAAAATTTCATGATCAAATGGAATTCCTACTGTCATTAGATTTGTAACAACATTTAATACTCTGCTCAGTAGCCTTGAATTAGCATTTTACACACAAGTTTGTTTATATATTACTTTTAACCTCACGATCATTTATCTTAGTCTCAGTCTAAAACTAACATTCACGTATTCTTGTCGTGAAAACAGTGAAGGAATTCTTGACCTTTTACTGGCGCCTTAAGTTTGCAGATGGGAATAGGAAATGTATGCAGTGATGTTGTCTCCTAGGACTGATTATAGTTTTGTTATGATTTCACTTGAAGCTGCAGAAGACACATAATGCCAACAACATCCACTTACCTGGCAGTTTCTATTATGACTGCAATATCTTTTCTTAGAAAACAATGTGTTTTTTCACCAAACAATGAAACTGTTAGTCCAATATCTGGTCATTTCTGTGGATACCATGTAGCTCAGAACTGGACAGTGACCAAAAAAATGCTTCAGTTCTCTTCCCAAACAAAGATTTAGAAATGCTTTTGTGAAAGGCTTTGATCAATTTTGAAGAAGAATGTTTTGAAGAGGAAAGCCCTTTTTTGGTCTTGCCCCCCAAATCTACAACACTATGTGAGTCTGGTATAAGGTAATTGCCAACGAGCAAGCCGAGCGAAGACGGTCGGCTTGCGAGGTGGCCAGCTTAATGCCACCCAAAGTATTGTGGCAGGCAGAAAAATTCTCAATCGTGCTGTAAGGTGTAGATTCCCTGGGGATTTTAGTGGCGTTAGTTTCACGTGACTTTTGATGAGCTTTGTTGTAAACAAACAAACTTTCAAAGTTCGGACAATGTCCCGGAACCCAACGCCTGCCACGGTCTACACTATGGAAATGTAGTCGCATCTACATGTACATTTTACATGTAGTGGATGGGGCCTTCCTAGGATCATCTTGTTTACACCCACTCATAATTTCATGATTATGATGGTTTGCATTTTAATCTTTGGAAACAATTTGCTTAAACCAGGGGTCGACAGCAACTTTTCAAGGTGGTTGCCCTTCAGGGACCAAGCCTCACAATCTAGTCGTCAGAGGAAGACTATTAGTTGCCCAAAACGTTTGGAACAAACAAATTAAATGATAATATAACTGCAAAACCGTGGAGGCATGTGTGGCCAAGCGGTTAAGACAGAATCTGTGAGGAAATTGAGTAATTTTAATTTTCAGTGGACAAAAACCTTGTACCAGAATAGTTTAAAGCATATTGCACTCTTTTTTACATTTTTTGAGGGATAAAGATGTAGTTAGTCATCTGTAATAACACCAAAGAAAATTTCTTATGGGAGCCCTAGAAAACAAATGTCAAATGACATCTTACAAATGAAATGTTCAGAATTTTACCTGTGTTTTCACAATTCTTGTGAAATTTTGAAATTTATTTTCTCGGACAGAAATTTCAGTTGCCGGATCTGGCAACTAGGATCCTAAACTTGGTTGCCCCGAGGAAATTTTTTGTTGCCTCGGGCAAGCAGGCAGCCGTGAATGCCTAGCCCTGTTAAACTCAACACAATTGTAAAATTTGATTTAATTTTTTATTATAGTTCCAGTGAATTTCACCACTGTGCCAAGTAACAAGACGGCAAATGAAACAGACACAGTAACTTTCCTCTGTAGTGCTTCTGGAAACCCTGTGCCAACAATCACATGGCTGAAAGATGGACAAACAGTGGGCAATCAAACCAATTTAACATTCACTGTATTCAGAAACCACTCAGGGAACTATTCATGCTTTGCAGATAATGGCTTGAATGTAACTGTTACTGCTAGTGCTTATCTTGATGTCCAGTGTATGTATGATTTTTTTTAGGTTTGAGCATGAACGCTGTAGTATGCATAATTCATGATTTCAAAATGGGTGAAAAAATTGTAGGAGGCAGTTGAAGTATTTCTTGCTACTATTACATTTGTATGTTGAGTTTGGTTGAGTTGGTTGAGTTCAGAAAATGTAAATAGTTTCATATAATTTTTGGCTTAACTGGAAACAAAAATGTGCTACTAAGTTCACAAGAGAGGCTTTACAAAAAACTGCATCTAGATTCAATTCTTCAAATTTTAAGATTGAATTTTACATTATGTATTTGGGGTCCTTCAAATTTTTCACTTACTAAGCTTATGCTTTCAATAGAGCATGGGAACCTTCATGAAAATGCCAACAGTACAGTGCATAACCAGAATGTCATTGTTGCATCGTTACCCAAGAATTAATTTTGTGGTGAACAGGTCACAAGGGAGTCTGTTTTAATTTGTTTCTCAAAAATAATAAGAGTCATTTAGTATTCTGAGATGAATGCAATTAACTTTTTTTCAAACAAATTATTTTGCTCGTAATTTCTCTATGACGGTATAAATATTATTAAAATATTAAATTTATGATTTTTCCTTTTGCAGTCAAGCCTGAAAATACCCAACTCTCAGTGGGCAGTTTAAACACCAGTGCAGTTTTACTGGGTAGCACAGTTACCTTTAACTGCTCCACATCTTCATACCCATCTCCACATGTTTACTGGTTTTACCACAATGAAGTGTTCATTGGTAGTAATGTCAGTGGGTTTTACAACCTAAAGATGAGTAGAAGTGGTGTTTATTCCTGTTTGCCTGTAAACAGGGCTGGTGTTGGAGAAACTGCAACTGTCAACTTGACTGTTGTTGGTAAGTTGTTGTATTGNTTATTTTGCTCGTAATTTCTCTATGACGGTATAAATATTATTAAAATATTAAATTTATGATTTTTCCTTTTGCAGTCAAGCCTGAAAATACCCAACTCTCAGTGGGCAGTTTAAACACCAGTGCAGTTTTACTGGGTAGCACAGTTACCTTTAACTGCTCCACATCTTCATACCCATCTCCACATGTTTACTGGTTTTACCACAATGAAGTGTTCATTGGTAGTAATGTCAGTGGGTTTTACAACCTAAAGATGAGTAGAAGTGGTGTTTATTCCTGTTTGCCTGTAAACAGGGCTGGTGTTGGAGAAACTGCAACTGTCAACTTGACTGTTGTTGGTAAGTTGTTGTATTGTACTTTTAAT